TGGTGTCGTCTAGCCACGGTCTGAGGAGTGTCTGGTTTAGACAAATTATATTGATTTAATAGCTGAATGGTGGTAGCTTGTTTGCTGCTGCTACGGCAAGTCGCAACAGATTAAAAAAAAGTAGTTTTGCTTTTTTATACCCTCCACCATACTATGGAGGGTATATTAACTTTGTCATTCCGTTTGTAACTCCTCGAAATACTCATGTCAGACCCAACAAAGTATATATATTCTTGATCAGCGTAAAATTCTATGTCGATTTAGCCATGTCCGTCTGTCTGTCTGTCTGTTGTAATCACGCTATCTTTCGAACGAATTGAGATAGAAGGCTAAAATTTTGCACACCTGTTTATTTTCCCAGTAGGCAGGTAAAGTTCGTAAATGGTCCACGTGTAGGTCCACGTTTTCATATAGCCCCCATATAACGGTACCTCCCGATATTCGGTATTTTGATGATTTTAGCGACATTATTCACCAGAATTGTTTCAATTTTGGTATTTGAAGTTCGATATGGACACTACAGCCTATGACAGAAAATTATCTGGGCGGTCTACGTCTTCCTATAGCCCCCATATAACGGTATCTCCCTATATTCGGTATTTTGATGATTTTAACGCCATTATTTACCGGAATTGTTTCAAATTACGTATTTAGAGTTCGTAATGGGAACTACAGTCTGTGACAGAAAAATGTCTATGCAGGTCCAGGTCTTCGTATAGGCCCCATATATCAGTACCTCCCTATATTCGGTGGGTACAATACCCACCGAAATTTTTTGAGATGTCGTATTGACGTTCGTAATGGATGCTATAGCTTGTGACAGAAAATTGTTGCGAATTTGAATATGGTAATGGCTTATGACAAACAAAGCCTATGTAGGTCCACGTCGGATAGACCCCAATATAACGGCAATATTCGGTATTTTTAAAATGTTAACAGAATTTTTTAAAGAATTTATTTTTTGAAAATTTCCAAACTCCATCCAAATGGTGGAGGGTATTCAAAGTGCGGCCTGGCCGAACTTATTGCTTTTTAACTTGTTTTTAGCTCTTTTTGTTTTGAAGTAATTTTTGATTGCAGTTCATTTTATTGGGATACCCTACATTAGCGATATGTGGATCGGGTACTAAGAAAAAGGTTATTTTAAAGACTAACCTATGAATTTCTGTATAAAAAAAAGCATAAGGTATCTCCGTTGTTTTTAGGGACTTTATTGATAGAAGCCATTCCATAGATCCTCTATATATTTAACGCGGGTTCTATAGATATAAGAACCAGGTCTTCTATAGACAAAATATATTTTATTCTACCTTAGAGAGAGAGACAGAAGGCAATTTACAGACATTGTATAGAAAAAAGGCCGAACAGAGTTCTCCCATACATACCAGAAGGTCTTTCAGAGGGAATTTTTAGGGTATCTAATGGTCGGCCTCTTCTGTCTATAGTCTTTGCTTTTCATTTGTCAGTTTGTTTTTTTTTTTGTTTTTGTTTTAATTTTTGCTCAATTTAGCCGAGTAATCGGATCCTATAATTGTTACCTGCGGCAGTACAATGTGTAATTACAAAATATTTTGATGAACTTCGATTTTGTTCATTTTTTGTGAGTATTTTCTATGTTTTTTTTTACATATTTTTCCACAACAATATTTAGTTAAAGGCTTCAGACACATGTCCACACCAGTATGGACACATGTCTCGCTTAGGAGAGCAATCGAAAGGAATACAGCTTTTTTATAAGCTAGCTTAAATGTCGAATACATTCAAAAGCTATTAGACAGTTTCCAAGGACCAACAGTCCACAAAATTTATTTTTTTAGTAAAATATTATTCCAATATAAATATTTAGAAAATGTTTTTTTTTTTTTTTTTGAAGAAGCAACCAGCAGCCACAATTCGTGGATTTTTAAAAAATAAAATTTCTTTTTTCACAAGGATCAACAGTAAATTGTGTATTTTTTAAGAAATGTTTTTTCCAAGAACCAAACAACTTTTCAAAATACAAAATTGTCGATTTTTATAAAAAAGACCAATTTTTTATAATAAAGGACAATTTATCCTCCAGTCCCCAAATCTTTATTTTTTTAATGAACATTTTTTTCCAAGAACCAAAAGTCTCAAATCCTGCATTTTTCAAAGAATGATTTTTCCAATCCACAAATCGTATATTTTTGAAAATTATCCAAAGTCCACACATTGTTCGCGATACCATAGTATTTTGTTGTTGCAAAATGGTCAGGCTTAATCCCTACATTTTTGTTTTTAAAAAAATAACGTTTGTTTATTTGTGGAGAAAGATGGTAATGTTTACCAGGGGGTAAGGCAGGGAATACCTAGGTTTTCCTCTTTTCCAATCCTCCTAGTTTTTTGTTTTTTTTTTTTTTTCAAATCGTGAACATGATATCTTTCAAGGAAAATTTTTCCAAAGCCCTTTTGAACACAGTATTTTAGAACTTTTTCTTTTTAAGGACCAATCGTGGATTTTGTAAGAATACATTTTCATGAACCAGTGTCAGAAATCAGCAATTTATGTTGGAATAGGTTTCCCAAGGCTCAGCCGCTAAATGTGGATTTTTTTTAAATATTTTTTTCAAGAACCACAATTAAAGAAAAACTTTTTCAAAGACCAATAGACCGCAAATCGTCGATTTTTACAAAAAAAGATCACAAGTTGTGGATAGTTTATGTAACAATTTGAATATTAATGTTTTGATTATGAAATTAATGAATATTGAATATTTTTTTTCGAAAGAATGAATTGTTTAAAAATTTAGAACTATCTCTTTTGAAAGACCAACACAATTCAAATCATTGATTTTTTACGAATCAAATGTCCAAGGGTCACTAATCCTAGGTATTTACGGAATAATAGTGGATTATAAAGAAATATTTTTTTATCAAAGATAATTTTTTACTCACTCAAAATCTTGGATTTTAAAGACAATTTTTCCAGGTAACAACATACTCAAATGTCCAAGGATCACTATTCCTAGGTTTTTAAGGAATAACAGTGGATTGTAAAGAAACATTTTTTTTCAAAGATAAATTTTTTACTCGCACAAAATCTTGGGTTTTAAAGACAATTTTTCCAGGTAACAACATACTTCAAATCGTCAGCAGAATTCTTTTGACCAACACATTGGTGTTGGATGCAGATAGCCACGTCTAAAGATTTCAAATTACCCAAATCGGACTGAAGAAATGTAGTTCTGCCGGAAATAGAATCAGATTTTAGAATACGTTTAGATTTGTTCGAATCGGTCACCTTTGGCTCGAATTATGGCCTTCAAACGGCCAATAAAACTGTCACACGCTGCCCGAATGCTGCTCTGCGGTATTTTGGCCCATTCCCGGCGAAGCGCTTGCTTGAAGTGATCGACACTTTGGTATTTTTTAGTGTCAACCTTGCTTTCCAAAATACTCCAGGCACAATCCTGTTAAATCCTGTTTGAATGTCCAAGGTCTGCGGGCAAAATGTTTGCGTGCCCAAGGCTTTTATACACCCTACAGAATATTTTCGCGATAATATTCGGCATTTATTCTGATGCCACGGACGATTAATACGAGCAGAGAGTGACCATCGGCCGGCGCTTGAGTTCTGGTGGCCAACAGAAGGTGCACATTTTCAGCTGACCTCTTTGGCAAGTAAACACGGTCATTATGGTAGTTTACAAACTGCTGGACATCGAATGTTTCCTCATCGGAGAAAACCAAATTCGGCAGTTCACCACTTTCGGCCAAGCTTTAGCTCTTTTGAGTCTATTTTCTTTCCGTTGCGGTGTAAGTTCATGCACTTTTTCGAAATTTCAATGGCTTTACCCCGTGCTCATTTTTCTATATTTGCCGAATGGAGTATTGCGATATGTTCAGCTCACGAGCTATTTTTCGGCTACTGCGACGCGAGTTTCGATCAAGTCGCTTCTTCACTTTTCAAACTATTTTTGCTGATGTTGCTGTTTTCTTCCGTCCACTTCCTTGACGTCGGGCTACGCTACCAGTATCACGGCAACGAGCGATGGTACGAGACACAAAAGATTTATTCAAATTTAAATGCTGGAGTGTTCTAACGCTAGCCACTTGTGGTTTTCCAGCCAAATATAAAGAAATAACACTATCACGCTTGAATTCCATCACGAATAACTTTTTTCTGGAAAATTCTCACCTAAATGCAATGCTTCGCTTTTAAATAATATAATGAGCATTCACTGGAATAATTTGAACAGCTGTCGGGCGAGTGGCTTAGAAATGACAGCAGTCTGAAGTTGATTGCAGTTTTTTCATATCACCCCGTATATATTACAAAATGAAGCCGAAAATATTGAGAATCCTTTGTTCGGCTAAGGGTAACATAACAACCTACAACTAGCTCCAACAAAAATTTTATTTTGCAAAATGTAAACAATAAATGACGTGATTTCTGTTCCTCGAGGGTGTAAACTAACAGGAAAAAATGGAATTGAAATAAGGTTAAATAAAAAGTAAGGTCAAAAAAATTACACTAACCTCTATTCTAGGTCCAATTTTTAGACCTGCAAGACAACAAAAATGGAAAAATCTGCTAAATGTCCTTTAATTTCCTTTGTTTAAAGTTCATGACACCGAGCTGCCCTCCAAATTTTCACCATCGACACTTTAAAGGTGTCGAAAAAATTTGTAAAACCTCGCTCCTAAGCCAAACTCAATTTCCTTAATGGCAATGTATTCAATACACCGCCAAGAGCACCAACAAATACAGCAACAATTCCAGTTTGCCAAAGCTATCAAATTGCAGCTTCCAAGCCAAGCAAGCAAGCTTAGGCTCTCTAGAGCATTGTATGGCAATAAAATGGCAATTATAGCACGCTTGTAATAATCATTGAAAACATATGTAAAAATTATGATTTTTATCGCCTCCTTTAATCGTTTTTCTATGCATAACAAAAGTAACAACAACAACAACAATAGCTTCTCATATTACAATGTTCATCATCTTGTATCTTTCTCTCTCTCTCTCTTTCTTGCAGTGCGCAACTTTAGTCCACGTATGGATTACAATAACAATGAATGGCGCCCAGTTGGTCGTGGTGATCCATTGAAAAATGATCCAACATTTGATTATAGTCCACCAACTTTGGATAGAGTACGTTACTGGGCTGATCCGGACAAGGATAAGGAAAAGACGGAAGAGGCGGCAGCCTCCTCAAATGTCATTGATGCTAAATTGAAAAAGGCCAATCCGGGAAAGAATGAAATTTTACTTTTGGGTGTGACAGGAGATCGTATTAGAGGTGCTCCAGCCGCCCCCATGCAATACCCATCGCATCCGCATGCTGGCCAGCATATGATGAAAAATGCCAAGGGGGAAACTCCACTGTTGCAACCCAAATATACATCCATAAGACGTAGTTATTATTCCCATCAATTGCCTACCCACTTGATGCCACCACCAATGCAACCCAATGTTCCCCAACAAGCTTCAGCTTCACAGGCCCAACAGTCTCCATCCCAATCCCATATGTCAATGGGCCACATGATGAAGCCACAAGTTCATGGCGAATATAGACATCAAATGCCAGCCAGTAATGGTGGTCATCATTCCTATGTTAGCTCCCCGCCCATGTCGGCTTCCATGAATGTTCACGCCAAACCATATCATATGTTATCCTCAACATCATCCCAACCCTGGATGCATGCAGCCAGTCCGGCTTCTTCAATGGTTACATCTATGCCCTCACATCACATGGCCAACCCCATGGGAATGGTTCATACACAACATTACTCGGCACCAAGTCATGGTCAGGTCCATGATGCCCATCATCAAGAATCAGTTAGTTATTTGACCTATACCAGGCCCAGCATGCAACACACTCCCATGGCAATGGGTGGTGGTAGCCATGAATATTATTCTCCTAATTCCATAAGGGGTTCCGCATCAGGCCACAAAAGCTCCTCCTCCTCGTCAAGTTCTAGAAAACCATGGCTCCATGATCTACTGAAAAAGGAAGTGGTAAAAACTGTGAAACCCTCGATGGCGCCCAACAGCTATCACAGTGAAGTTTCAATCAAACCATCGCATTCCTATCACATTGAATCTGGAATGAGGCCGCATCAAATGGATCATCATTTTGAGCCTCTGGTGGCAGCCAATACACCAGTAAGCAGTACATATACTCCCGTTTCCTTTGTCACAACAACGACGACAACCACCACCAAACCTGTTACAACCCCAACCACCAACCCTATTCCCACACAAGCAGCAATTTACATGACCAGTAGCAGTAGTACTACACCCACATATGTCACAGCTCCTACATACCCACCAATATATACTCACACCAGTACCAGCACAACCCAGGTACCCAGGACCACAACCACCTTGAGTCCAACCCGCTTGCTCATACCCAACACCAGTAATCTGTCCTATCGACCAACTGTGGCTCCCATTAAAATGACAACTGACTCGCTGTTCTCCCACTACAATCAACCCGAAAAGCCATTGCGGGGACCAATGTATTTAATCATTGAAGGTCATTCAAAGGTCAAGACATATGGCAAGGATGAATTGGATCCCCATAAACCGAAAATTGTGCCAGTCATTTCGAGCCGGGAACCTGTTGTGCGGCGTGCCGATCCCAATGAGAAACGGGGAACACCTGAGACATTCCAAGTCAAACATTTGCATACCAAAACCACTGAAGCCATGGAAAAGATAACAACCTCAACGACGGTTAAACCGGTGACCACGAAAACCACCTCCAGTTCGACTACTAAAAAACCCCAAGGTACCACAAGTAAGCCAAGCACTACTGCCGTTAAAAACTCAACAGAGAAAATCAAACCTGTAACCACCAAAAAACCAGCCGAGGCCACACCCACAAAGAAGTCAGTGGCGCCCAACACTAAACCTGGGCAAACTGCAACCACAACAACAGCTAAGCCTCCAACCACCAAGGCAACCATCAAGCCTGCTCCCAAAATAAGTGTTACCACTTCACCCACCACCGCAAGTACGACCACGACAACAAAACCCACAACTCCGAAGCCCAAAGTTGAAAAACCGCCGCCGACAAAAGAAAGCAAAACACCCTCTAAATCCCCCGTCAAAGAGGAAAAGCTGAGTCCCAACAATTTAAATGTTTTGGATGCCATGAAAAAGCCTAGCCTAACTGCACCCACAGCCATGCAGGGTTTGCTCAGCTTTTTGGATTCCTCTCTTGAGTCCTTGCTCAAGGAACAGAAATCCTCAAGCGCATTAGTAAATGAAGCACAAAATAAACCCCCTGCAAATGGTACCACCAAACTCAAATCCATAACCATGAATACTCAAGAGCCGCAAATCGAGGCTCGTGTCAGTACCAAACTGCAAGCCATCAAGGCCGAAGATTATGATGACTATGTCGAAGATGATGGAAAATTGATGAAAGTAACCACCGAATATTTGCCAAGGGAAACCAGACAAATATTCGATTATGACCAATTGCCAGAATCGCGCATAACCGGCAATAAGGACAACTCCAATTATGACGATGAAGATGATCTGTCGGCATTGGGTTTTGATGATGAATACGAGTATGAGGAGGTGGAAGAACCTTCAGGATCCCAGCTAATCAAACGTATTGATGCCTTGGTAAGCAGCCAAGAAGAAGATTTCACCCAAGACGATTTGGAAGCTCTGAATTTGGGGCGGCAACAACAACAGCAACAAAAGGCAATGAAAGCGTAACGAATTTCGACAAAGCAACTATGTTTTTTTTAGGTATCTCTACAAGTCGTAATAATTTATTTATTTATAAATTGCGTTAGTATTTTGTCAGATACTGTTCTATACCAAAATCTATTTGAAAACAAAAACATGTCTTATATAGTATTTACTTATTTACTCCTCCATACTCCCAACTCCAACTGTACATAGATAGCAATGATTTGATTTTGGAAATATATTGAACATGGAAAATTCTACCCCATATTCACAGAGATGTAACCAACCCCAAGCACACCATAAAGTGGTCACAGATGTATTAAGTTTTAAGTCGCATCACGATTATTTTTGTGATTAATATTTTTTATATAAAAGAAGAACATTTTAATTTAATTAATTTATTTATTGATATAGTTATGTAAGTGTAAATTATTTGAATAAAATATATATTTAATAAAATAATGCAACTTTGGAATTTATTTTTAAAAGGAAACTGCATAACAAGTATAGTCAGTTTGACCGACAGCCAGAAATAAAAAAAAAAAACAAGTAAAGAAGAATCTAAGTTCGGCCGGGTCGAACTTTTTATATCCTTCACCATTTGGAAGGAACTTGAAAAAGTTTAAAAAAAAACCGTCGAAAATATTGCTCAAATGAAAACTTTTATATAGGGGCTATACGAAAAAGTGGTGCTGGATAATCATTTTTTGTGATAGGCTGTACTAACGATTCTGAATTTCAAATACGAAATTTGACACAATTCCGGTGAATAATGTCGCTAGTATCATCAAAATGCAGAATAAAGGGAGGTACAGTTGTATGGGGGTTATACTAAGACGTAGACCTGCATAGACAATTTTCCGTCATAGGTTGTAGTACTCATTACGAACTTCAAATACGAAATTTGACGCAATTTTGGCGAATAATCCTGGAAATTCCGAATATCTTGAGGTTGCGTTATATGGACGCTATACTAAAAATAGACAATTCTCTTCCAGGGGGTAAAACACACGAAGGAAACTCCTTGTGTGGATTTTAATGCAATTCCATTGAAAAATGTGGATCCAGCATTTAAATGTAAATAAATCTTTTGTCTCTCCTACCATCGCTCGTTATCGTGATACTGGTAGCGACGTCAAGGATGTGGACGGAGGAAAACATCAACATCAGCAGAAATGGTTCGAAAAGTAAAGAAGCGACTTAATCGAAGCCCGCGTCGCAATGGCCGAAAAATGGCTCGTGAGCTGAACATAACGCAATATTCCATTTGGCAAATATTGAAAAATGAGCTCGGGGTAAAGCCATTTAAATTCAAAAAAGGGCAAGAACTTACACCGCAACAGAAAGAAAATAGACTCAAAAGAGCTAAAGAGTTGCTTCGCATGGTCGAAAGTGGTGAACTGCCGAATTCGGTTTTATCCGATGCGAAAACATTCGATGTCCAGCAGTTTGTAAACAAAGAAAATTATCGTACTTACTTGTTAAAGAGGTCAGCTTAAGCCGATGGTCGCTCTCCGCTGGTATTAATCGACCGTGGCATTAGAATAAATGGAAAATATTCTGGAGGCTGTATTAAAGCCTTGGACACGCAAACATTTTGGCCGCAGACCTTGGACATTCTAACAGGACTCAGCACCATCGCACTCAGCACGTGCCACCCAAGATTGGTTACAAAAAGAGGTTCCTCGCTCCATTTCCAGCGCACAAATGCCACCAAAATCTCCGGATACCAATCCGTTGGACTATTGTGTCTGGAGTATTTTAAAAATTCAGGTTGGCACTAAAAAATACCAAAGTGTCGATCACCTCAAGCAATCGCTTCGCCGGGAATGGGTCAAAATACCGCAGAGCAACATTCAGACAGCGTGTGACGGTTTCATTGGCCTTATGAAGGCCATAATTCGTGCCAAAGGTGAACAATTCGAACAAATCTAAACTTATTCTAAAATTTGATGCTATTTCCGAAATTTTTTGCTTTCGTTCAATAAAATTAAAAAAAAGGACAAAAATTTTATCGTTCGACTTTGTTGCGTTTTTTTTTTAACTCATTCTGTAATATCCTACGCCGAAAACTCAATATTGAAGGAGGTACTGGCCATTTTAAAATATTCAATAATTCATGCCCAGAAAAGTGATCACAAATAATAGCTAAAAACCCCGAAAACTCAATATTTAAGGAGTTATGGCCATTTTAAAATATTCAATAATTAATGCCTAGAAAAGTGATCGCAAATAATAGCTAAAAACGCCGAGAACTCAATATTTAAGAAGTTATGGCCATTTTAAAATATTCAATAATTCATGCCTAGAAAAGTGATCGCAAATAATAGCTAAAAACGCCGAGAACTCAATATTTAAGAAGTTATGGCCATTTTAAAATATTCAATAATTCATGCCTAGAAAAGTGATCGCAAATAATAGCTAAAAACGCCGAGAACTCAATATTTAAGAAGTTATGGCCATTTTAAAATATTCAAATACTCATTCCTAGAAAAGTGATCACAAAAAATATCTAAAAACACCGAAAACTCAATATTTAAGGAGTTATGGCCATTTTAAAATATTCAATAATTCGTACCTAGAAAAGTGATCACAAATAACAGCTAAAAACGTCGAAATCTCGATATTTAAGGAGTTATGGCCATTTTAAAATATTCAATAATTCATGCCCAGAAAAGTGATCACAAATAATAGCTAAAAACGCCGAGAACTCAATATTTAAGAAGTTATGGCCATTTTAAAATATTCAATAATTCATGCCTAGAAAAGTGATCGCAAATAATAGCTAAAAACGCCGAGAACTCAATATTTAAGAAGTTATGGCCATTTTAAAATATTCAAATACTCATTCCTAGAAAAGTGATCACAAAAAATATCTAAAAACACCGAAAACTCAATATTTAAGGAGTTATGGCCATTTTAAAATATTCAATAATTCATGCCCAGAAAAGTGATCACAAATAATAGCTAAAAACGCCGAAAATTCAATATTTAAGGAGTTATGGCCATTTTAAAATATTCAAAAATTCATGCCTAGATAAGTGATCACAAATAATATCTTAAAAACGCCAAAAATTTTCAATAATTCTTGCCTAGAAGTGATCACAAATAATAGCTAAAACCGCCGAGAACTCAATATTTAAGGAGTTATGGCCATTTTAAAATATTCAATAATTCATTCCTAGAAAAGTGATCACAAATAATAGCTAAAAACGCCGAAAACTCAATATTTAAGGAGTTATGGCCACTTTAAAATATTGAATAATTCATGCCTAGAAAAGTGATCACAAATAATAGCTAAAAACGCAGAAATCTCGATATTTAATGAGTTATGGCCATTTTAAAATATATAATAATTCATGCCTAGAAAAGTGATCAAGAATGCTTTTAGACCTGTAGAACTTTGTCTGAATGGAATTTTTTTGAATGTATAATTGCGAAAGTTTTGGGATTTTTTTGTTAATTTTGATTGGAGGAGAGTCAAATGAAAATGCCTAGTCGTTGAAAGACAGTTGTTGTCGACCACCTTTTTAATGCACTAACTGCTTATTCAGAACTTCAGGGCTTTATGAAGGTACCTTTGGCTCACGATATGCAATGAGTTTTGACCTTGCTAGTTTTCATCAGACAATTAAAATCAAGTGAACACAGTTTTCAGAAAATTAACAATAATTATCTATGTTATTTGAATAGGGGATTGAGTTAACTGCACTTTTCTATTGCATATCTTTAGGCGCTCCTAATAAAATGAAATAGGTTTGAGAAGTACAGCCAATGCTGAAAATGTTTAAGTGGGCATAGAGAAGTGTCAAAGCAAAGACAAAATACAATAAGATGGTACATTAAATTGTAACAATTCGTCAATAGATGTCACTAGTGTATTACATTATCGAGAAATCTACCAAATTGAAAAACAACAAAGTATTGCTTCAAAAGGAAGAATTTCATTAAAATTATAAAATTGATTCAATTAAAATTATATAAATAAATATTTTGTTGTTACTTTTAATTTGGAGGGATTTTTCGTAAGATAAACTTTTGACACTAACAATGGAGAAGGTGGTGAACAATTGTATATATATGTCCGATGTTTGAAATAAAAAACCTCGGGCAAAGACCGAGAATACAGATGCTGAAGACCAATTTCAATCGCTCGCTATGTGTTAGTTTTGCCAAGAGCTTCTACTTCAGACAATAATTGATTTGATTCAGAAGGAGGTTGAAAAGTATTGAAAATAAAAGGCCAATCTTATCAGATCCTTTAAGCTTCATGAACAGTGGAATAACTAAGAATACAATTGGGTGTCTCTGGATAAGTAGTTAAGTTTGTTTTTTTTTAACCCAATAATTTTGCGAAGTTGTTCGGTAGGAAAAAAATAAAATTCTTATTATTAAAATTTAATTCAGCAAAGTTTTTCTATGGAAATGCTGAATTTGTATAGTATTTCTGTAAGAAAATCGATTTAGCAGTGTTTTTCTATAAATAAAAAAATATACTCCATTCAAAAAATTGTTCCATGGAAACCCCTAAATCGGTAATTTATTCCTTGAATAACAAAAATTTCATTAAATAAGGCAAAATTATTCTATGGGAAGACTAAATTCAGTCAAGTGTTTCTATGGAAAACCCCTAGCAAAGTTTTTCTATGCAAAAATTATATTCAGCAAAGAAAAAACCAGTAAAGAAAGTCTTAAAGTTGGGACTTTATGATACCCTACACCACTATTGGAGAATTCAATAATACAAGCTATGATTATAATTCAAAGTTCAAAGGACTAAATATGCCGAAGCATTTGTATCTTTTAAATTCGGACTTGTGTTGCCCATTTGGGGCACAAATAATTTAAAATCGGATAAAAATATATATGGGAGCTATATCCAAATCTGAACCGATCTCGATAAAATTTGGCAAAGATATTTCTGAGCTGTATTTGATATATTTCCCTGAATATCGTTGTTAGGAAGTGCATATTACGGTTGTGGGTAACAAATATAACAAATCGGATGAAACATATATATGGAAGCTATAGCTATATCTGAATTGATCTTCACCAAATTTGACATACTAGCTTCTAGACTCAATTCGGTCGTAAGTGCCAAATTCCATCCCATTTAGACAAATATTAGACGTTTGGTGCACAATAAAAGGTAAATCGGACGAAGTTATATATGGGAGCTATATCCAAATCTGAACCGATCTCGATAAAATTTGGCAAATGTATTTCTGAGCTGTATTTGATATATTTCCCCAAATATTGTTGTTGCACAGTGCGTATTACGGCTGCTGAGGACAAAAATAACAAATCGGATGAACAATATATATGTAAGCTATAACTATATCTTAACCGATTTTGATCAAATTTGGCATACCTATTTTCAGGCCTAATTTGGGTGAATATGCAAAATTCCATACAATTCGGGCTGATATTACACGTTTGGTGCACAATAAAAGGTAAATCGGACGACGATATATATGGGAGCTATATCTAAATTTTGACCGATTATCTCCAATTTTAATAGGGTTCGTCCTTGGGCCAAACAAATGATCTGTGGAAAATTTTATCTGGATCGGGCAATAAATGCGACCTGTACTTTGTTTACAAAAATACATTGACAGACGGACGGACATGCATACATCGACTCAGAATGTGATTCTATGCAGATCATCAAAAGGAACTATAGGTCTATCTCGTTTCCTTTTGCCTGCTACAAACAAATGCACAAAGACATAATACCCTGACCACTATGTGGTGTAGGGTATAAAAATTAATAAGGGTTTTCTATTTTTCGGCCGCTTTGTGTAAACAGGAACCGGCGTCGCCATTAAAATTATTCCGCTTTGATGTCTTTGTTTGACACATTTCATTAAAGCTCCTTCATTGTCATTATTTTTAGGAAAAAAACAGCATTTCAGTCAATGTTGGGCGCCATTTTTTCTGGAGATAGCTTTCAAAAATTAATTTTTTCCAGTCGATTTTGATGTCATCTTTAGCTAAGAATTGGTATTTTATTGGAAAATGTTTTTATCTTGCCTTATAATTACATATGTTGGACATGGGAATCTAAACGTGATTTCAAACAGGACCCTTTCAATTATAAATTCTATCAGTAAAAAAATACACATGTGTTACACATACAAGTGTGCGCATTCATGTACATATTTGTTCAAGCAATCACAGTGTGTGTATTGATACCAATTGACGCTAATTAAGAGCCACGTTATTTTTGGAATGATTCGAATTTTTCGGTGCACGGAAGTGATAACAAAAGTGTGACGCATTCGACATAAATTTATGAATGGAATTGTGATGACACATTTACACAGATTAAAGTAGAATAACATTTAAGTAACCATTCAGGTTTTTTTTTGGGATATTGGGTAAAAAAAATCATTATTACAATAATTAAAAGGTAACAATTTGAAGACAAATATCGAAGGTTTAATTTTACATTTCATAATACCGGATGCTATTTATAAGTGTACTATTCCGGTGAAATATAACGAATAAATTTTAATTTTATGTTTTTCCGTTGGGTGTTTTTGAAATTCACTTTTAACTCTATTCAAATCTCAAAATCGTACCATTTATTTTTGGCAATTTATTTGCCAAACAGAACCTTGAAACCAAATATTTTTGCAAAATCTAATCGTATAGTGGGTCATTTATTTTAAGCTCATTTTATTGAAAAATAACACAGACGATCAATGATAACACAAACAAACAAATAAAATGATAACCTTGAAGAATATTTTTGAAAACTAAAAGCAAAAAATGATAGCTCCACTAGTCGTTGCAAAAAATGTTTTGGGAAATTCTTAAAACTCTAAATAATCCTTCAAAAATTACTCATAAAAATAGATCATTTCAGTTCCGATTATTGTTCATAAATACAGGGTGAGATGAAAAAACTGCAACCAACTTCAGACGGCTGTCATTTCCAAACCACTCGGCCGCCAGCTGTTAAAATTATTCCATTGACAGCTCATTTCATTGTTTACAAGCGTACAAAAGCATTTTAGTGAGAATTTTCCAGAAAAAAAAGTTATTCGCGATGGAATTCAAGCGTGATAGTGTGATTGTTTTATATTTGGCTGGAAAACCACAAGTGGCTATCGTTAGAACGCTCCACCATTTAAATGTGAAAAAATCTTTTGTGCCTTGTACAATCGCTCATTACCGTGATACTAGTAGCGTAGCCCGACGTCAAGGAAGTGGACGGAAGGAAACAGTAACATCAGCAGAAATGGTTCGAAAAGTAAAGAAGTGACTTGATCGAAACCGGCGTCACAGTGGCCGAAAAATGACTCGTGAGCTGAACATATCGCAATATTCCATTCGGCAAATATTGAAAAATGAGTTCGGGGTGAAGCTATTGAAATTCCAAAAGGTGCAAGAAATTACACCGCAACAGAAAGAAAATAGACTCAAAAGAGCTAAAGAGTTGCTTCGCTTGGCCGAAAGTGGTGAACTGCCGAATTTGGGTTTCTCCGATCTCCGATGAGAAAACATTCGTTGACCAGCAGTTTGTAAACAAACAAAATTATCGTGTTTACTTGCCAAAGAGGTCAGCTGAAAATGTGCACCTTCGGTTGGCCATCAGAACTCAAGCGCCGGCCATGGTGAGGGTGTGGGCCGCCATAACAGCCGATGGTTGCTCTGCGCTCGTATTTATCGACCGTGGCATCAGAATAAATGCCGAATATTATAGCGAAAATAGAGGGTGTATTAAAGTCTTGGGCACGCAAACCTTGGACATTCCAACAGGACTCAGCACTCAGAATGGTTACAAAATAAGGTTCCTCGTTTCATTTCCAGCGCACAATGGTCACCAAAATCTCCGGATACCAATCCGTTGGACTATTGTGTCTGGAGTATTTTGGAAAGCAAGGTTGGCACCAAAAAAATACCAAAGTGTCGATAACCTCAAGCAAGTGCTTTGCCGGGAATGGGCCCAAATACCGCAGAGCAACATTCGGGCAGCGTGTGACGCTTTCATTGGCCGTTTGAAGGCCATAATTCGTGCCAAAGGTGACCAATTCGAAACAAATCTAAACTTATTCTAAAAGTTGATGCTATTGCCGACATTTTTGCTTTAGTTCAATAAATTTAAAAAAAATGTAAAAATTGTGGCTTTTGACTTTAATGCAGTATTTTTTATCTCTTTTTATCTGTATATAGATAATCCACGATAATGTCTTTAAAAAAAAACTTAAAAATTAATGATTATAGCTTCAAAAATATTATTTTAGCCTTCAAAAAAATTTTCTTAAAAATCCACTATTATGGGCTCCAAAAATATTATTGAAAATTATTTTTAAAAATCCACAATTATAGCTTAAAAAGTTCTTAAAAATCCACGATTTTAGTTTAAAAAATATTCATTAAAAACCTCGATTTTATTTAAAAGAACATTTTTTAAAATCTGCAATTTTGGTTTAAAAATAATTCTAAAAAAATCCACGAGCTTTAGTACTCTTTTAAAACTAATTCTTAAAAACCCTGATTCTCTTTTCCAATAATCCTTAAGTAAATACTCTTAAAAACTAAAAAAGAAAAAATTGTGTGACAATCTTTCCATACTTTGTAGACCGATAACATGATTAATCACCCGTCAAACAAAAAAACTCATCATTCCAATTGGAATCCCCCCACACTATTCAGTTCTTCTCCAAACTCACTCTCACTTTCTCTCGATCATCTGACAGCATCGTCATCATCATTATTATCGACAATATATCGTCGAAAACTACTGCGACGATCAATGTGTGTTCAGTTCAAGACATAGTGTTGTTGCATCACGGTGTTGGGTTCCATTGTTTGTTTAGTGCGTGGATATGTGTGTCAAACCAAAAAAACGACTTCTTCAACGATAAAACCCGAGAAGCCAACCGAGAATTTAATAGCACCGCACATAACATGCAGTTTTTGATTCACTGGTTATAGAAGGGGGAGTCATTGTTCGATTATAATGACAACAATAACAACAACTGCATCACCCACCTCCTCCTCGTCATCCAACATCTAAACCACATGTACAAAAGACACAACAATGCATTACTTTATCACCATTTCTCGCAATGTTTACCATGGTGGGGTAAGAAACAAAACATAACGAAGAATAGGGAGCGAGCGAAAGCAAAAAAAAAAGAAGACTCATAAAAAATACCACAAAGATTGTTTGCGACCGGCGAGAGATATACTTACATGCATACAGTGGGTCAAGGTGAAAAAAATGATGTGAGCAAACAAATATTGTTTTGTAAGGATTTTGAACACAAATTCAATTAGGATTTAGTACATTTGGCCATTATAGTTTTATATCAAAATCACGTTGTTCATAATTTAAGGTTGTTCAAACTTTTTTTTTGTTAATTTTTATGTCAATTTGAATGGAAAAGAATGAAATACGCCCGAATATGAAAAGACAAAAAAGACAATATATTTTCATTTTTTTCGTTTTATCATTGATTTGAACTTTTCATTCATATCTTTATTTTTTTTTTCTGAAAAAATATTCTTGGTTTTTCCTATTTTCAAATTCAACAGGATAGACATCTGTCAAAATATTTTTTTTTTCTGAGGAGATAATAAAAATTGTGTTCTTGTTATTTCTTAATTAAATTCTAATAACATACAAATTGAATTATTTTATTTTTATATAAAAAAATTTCAGAAAATGTTGTAAACGAATTGAGAACGAATTACGTACCTTGCGAACTTTGTATAAGGAAAGAGAGGAAAACAAGTAATAAAGCAGCTAAGTTCCGACGGCCCGAATTGTTAATACTCTTCGCCAATTGAAGAAATTTGCAAAATTCACAAACATTACTGTTGAAAAAATACCTCTAAAACAGGATACCCATTACGAAATCCAAATACCAAATTAGAAACAATTCCGTCGAAAAAAATCATTTTATGTGGTCTATACCAAAACAAAGACCTATATGAGCAGTTCTCCGCAATTTACAATTGGAAGAAATTTGCAAAATTCACAAGCATTTCTGTTGAAAAAATACCTCTAAAACAGGATACCCATTACGAAATCCAAATACCAAATTAGAAACAATTCCGTCGAAAAAAATCATTTTATGTGGTCTATACCAAAACAAAGACCTATATGAGCAGTTCTCCGCAATTTACAGCAAATTCGGTTCAAAACAAAGACCTATATGAGCAGTTCTCCGCAATTTACAGCAAATTCGGTTCAAAATTGTGACGAAAAAACCCAAAACACTTTAAATCTGCCTGTTAAATGGGGTGCTATATGACCAATATCCAATACGAAAAACCATGCAGACCTAAAACACATCTGAGTAAAATTTTATCAACCTTCTTAATTTCGTTCGGAAGCTAGAGTGATTTCCATAGACGGACGGACATGTTTGAATCGACATAGAATCTCGCGCTGAGCAAGGGTCTTAAATGCATATTTCGAGGAGTTATAAACGGAACGGCAAACTTAATATACCTTTCGAAGGTGGAAAATTGGATGGCAATCTTAATGAGGAAGGACATGAACTCGTTGGTGAGATCAAAAGCATCATATTTGAATTAGTGTGTTGAAGCTGTTGGGCGCCAGCTTCAACACTTCTCTCAGGACAGGCGAAGTTGATCGCTGATCTTTCTAAACGCAATTGTCAGCCTATATGTGAGGACTTTGTGGTATATGATACCCATGGTAGTCCTAATCATCCAGTTGACATAACACGTCTTATTATTTATAAGTAATGGGTATTCCCAAGTACTCAAATCTGTCATTCAGTATCATCGACGTAGACTTATAATTTCCAATCTCACTCCACACCTGTGGACCGAGAATTTTGTAGTTAAAGAGTCTAACAAAGTCCGAAAAAGAGAGTCAATTATGAGATTCCAAATGAAACACATAGAGATACCTACAGATATTCCCGCTGAAAACTATATATATGCCAAAAACAAGTCTCATTTAGCCTTGCCACCATTATCATCTCCAATACCTTTCCAAGCCCGGAAGAAAGTGTTATACCGGGTGCTATTCATCAGTCAATTTTTAAACACGAGGGACGTCTTCCAAGAAACATTCCGCTAACACAGAACTATATATTTTTCTCATTTCACGTCTCGTTTCTCCCAATAGTGAAATAGTAAATTATCTTTGGCTTGTATAATAATTACAAAAGTACAAACAATTGTTCTGTTAAATCAGCTGTTTAAACAAATCAGCTGATAGCTTACAGGGATTCCGTTTGTTTACCTTTAACAGCAAAACCACCAACCACACAGATCATATTATTGGTGAATAAGTCAAAACCGTGTGCTAGCACTCTTTGTATTCTAAGGTTTATTTTAATTGTTTTTATACCCTACACCACATAGTGGTAAGGTTATTATGTCTCTGTGCATTTGTTTGTAACAGGGAGTAGGAGGCGAGGTAGACTCATAGCAGGGGTGCTCAAAAAGAAATATCTCTTTTCAGTCAAATTTCTCTTTGCTTATTTAAATCAAGAACAAAACAGTGTTAAGTCATTATTTATACAAATATTTTTTATCCATTTGCTTTATAAATTATTTAGGCAAACATTCATGTTAAAAGTAATTAAATTGAATCGTAAAATATAAAGAAAAACAGATTTTTAATTTTCTCTTAAATTATCTCTTTTTTCTGTTCATGTTCTAGAACACGGTTTTGAGCACCGCTGCTCATAGTTACTTTTGAGGCTCTTCATAGAATCATTTCTGAGTCGATTTATGCATGTCAGTCTGTCTGTTCGTCCGTATGACCATGTGAATAAAATTAATTTTTTTTATTATTTTTTACCCGATTGAGATGCAATTTTCCTAACAATATTTATTTGGCCCAAGGATGAACCCTATTGAAATTTGTGATAACCGGATCAAATTTAGATATAGCTCTCCTATATATCTTCAACCGAATTCGGGTTAATTGTGCTAATGTAAGTCCAAATGACCTGAATTCAGTCTAGAAGCAAGTACGTCAAATTTAGTAAAAATCGGTACATCAAATTTGGAGAAAATCGGTTTAGATATAGCTATAGCTACCATATACATGTTTCATGGTGTTTAAGTCCCTCAAATTCGTAGTATCCAATTCGACAGCAATGATATTTAATCGCAATCAGTTAAGATTTGGATATAGCTTCAAAATATCCCTAATCCGATTTCAGTTTTTATTGTGCAAACAATGGCTAATGTCAGCCGAAATGGAGTGAATTTCGGGACTAACGTTTCCATTTTGTAGTACTCGGTTCCAATATATATTTTATACCCTCCACCTTGGAAAGGAGGGTATATTAACTTTGTCATTCCGTTAGTAACATCCATAAATATTCGTCGTAGACCCCATAAAATATATATATATTCATAATCAGAATAAAATTCTAAGTCAATTTAACGATGTCTGTCTGTCTGTCCGTCTGTCTGTCTATCTGTTGAAATCACGATACAGCCCACATTATTTGACGTAGAGCGCCAAAATTTAGCAGAGCTATTTGTATTGTGTCTAGGATGGTTGGTATTGAAAATGATATCGGTCCACGTTCTGGTAAAGTCCCCATATAACGATACCTCCCAATATTCGGTATTTTGATGGTTTTTGCCACATTTTTTCACTGATTTGTCTAAAAATTGGTATTTGTGGGTCATAATGGGTTCTAGTTCGTGTGGCGGAACATTGTACGTATAGGTCCACGTTTTGATATAGTCCCCATATAACGGTACCTCCCAATATTCGGTATTTTGATGATTTTTGACACATTTTTTCAAGAATTACTCTGAAAATTGGTAGTTGTAGATCATAATGGGTCCCAGTTCGTGTGGCGAGTCATTGTAATTATAGGTCCACGTTTTGGTATAGCCCCCATATAACGGTACCTCCCGACATTTGATAATTTGATGATTTTTGCCACATTTTTTCACGGATTTGTCTGAAAATTGGTATTTGTAGTCATAATGGGTTGTAGCTCCGTTGTTTCATTGTATGTATAGGTACATGATATAACGGTACCTCCCGATATTCGGTATTTTGATGGTTTTTCCACATTTCTTCTAATGTTTCCCTTACCCTAAGGTGGAGGGTATTAAAAGTTTGGCCCGGCCGAACTTAATGTTTTTTTACTTGTTCATATAATCCTTCTCATGCACTCTATAGCAATATTATTTACTATAAAAGATTAAAATGTCTCAGTCAAATTTAGTGAAAATCGATTCAGAATTGGATATATATATATAGTTCCCTCTGAAACCTAACTGTAACTGATCTAAAGCCAAATGTTGATTGGTGTTATGATCTACTTCAAATAAATTCTTTTGCTACGGGAGCTCTACTAAATATGCATAGTGATGTAGGGTATCATATTGTCGGCCCACCCCCGACTTTTGACTTTTCCTTACTGGTTATTGTAAATTTAGGAATTTGATTATAGTTTTCAGTACAATAAAGAATGCTTATAATCTGAAAAATTATGAACATTTTTAAATTTTTGTCTGAAACTTTAAACACTTCACCTTAAAAAGTAGACAAATTCGCAAACTCTCTGTAACCTTACTATCAAATTTGCTCGCTTTACTTATTCTTACTTGCTGGACTTCTGGGGTTTCGAACAGTTTGTAGTAATTTTTATACCCTCCACCATACTATGGAGGGTGTATTAACTTTGTCATTCCGTTTGTAACACCTCGAAATACTCATGTCAGACCCAACAAAGTATATATATTCTTGATCAGCGTAAAATGCTAAGTCGATTTAGCGATCTCCGTCTGTCTGTCTGTCCGTCTGTCTGTCTGTTGTAATCACGCTATCTTTCGAATGAATTGAGATAGATGGCTAAAATTTTGGACACATGTTTATTTTTCCAGTAGGCAGGTTAAGTTCGTAAATGAACCATGTAGGTCCACATTTGTATATAGCCCCCATATAACGGTACCTCCCGATATTCGGTATTTTGATGATTTTAGCGACATGATTCACCGGAATTGTTTCAAATTTGGTATTTGAAGTTCCAAATGAATACTACACTCTAAGATAGAAAATTGTCTGTGCAAGTCCATGTCTTCGTATAGCCCCCATATAACGGTACCTCCCTATATTCGGTATTT